CAGGGTTTCCAAGGCTGTAAATCTTTATGGGAGCAGAAAGCCTCATCTTTCTCCCATGGAACAGCTGGTAGTTTCAAACTGCTGACCTTGAGTTGGCAGTCTGATTCTCATTTGTTGTGTATCCACTCACCACAGATGGTTCTAACAATTAACTGAAAAGCTGGAGATTTGAGACCACCTCAGAAGATCTTATTCTGAAAAATCACCCTTTGAAAAGCCCATGGAGCACAGTTCTACTCTGACACATGGGTGACCATGCATCTGAACCGAATCAGTAGCAACTAATTTCTTGTTTCTGTTTGTGTGATTCTTGTACTCTTCGTTACAAAAATAAGGTTTACTTGCAGGGAGGGTAAACATGTAAGATGAATAAAATGTATGTTCATAATAGCTCTTAACTCAAATGTCTGATTGTTTTTCACTTAGGTCTTGTAAATTGTGGTTCCTTCAGTAGCATATGAGGGGTCTTCAATTCATTATCAACAGTAGTTGGGGAATTAAAAGGGCAGGGAGAGAGATGTTTGCCAGGTGAACTAGCACAGGGGATGTTTCAGGAGAGGTTGGCTGCATGTGCTGTGCTGGTCTGAGTAATTTTCACCTCAAGTAGATGATTCATTGGCATATCCTCAGCCTACTGTGTATCAGTGATGCGTACAGACTGAGAAACTAAGATCTTTTGGTTCCGTGGGTTTTTCTGACTCAGTAAAGTCACATTTCCTTTCAAGACTTTATTCTTCATCATTTTTGTGCTTTTCCAAATCTAATAATTCCAGAGGAAGCTTCAGTGGGCAAGGGACTAGCATCATCATTGGTTTCTTTACTCTGACTGGCAGTTTTGAAGTCAGCAAACAAACTTACTTTTTCCACTCTGCATGGATTACTTTTATGGAAATTTTGAAATAGTTTAATGTTGTTGTTTTAAGTGCCGCCGAGTCGGAATCCAACTCATAGCAACCCTGTATAGGGTTTCCAAGGAGCGGCTGGTAAGTTTGAACCACCGACCTTGTAGTTCAAACCAACCTTGCGATCCAGTGCTTTTACCCACAGCACCACACCAGGATTCCAGTTTAACATCAACACTTTTAAATTTTCCTGTTAATAATTATTCATCTCAAAAACAGCAAACCAATTTGTAGCAAATATATCTGAATGTGGTGAACATACAGGGACAAAATTATGAAAACTTCTTAGACATTACCAAACACCTTGAAGAGATAAGTTACTGAGTCTGGGGGCACAGGACCATAGGGGACACCATGGTCAATTGGCATAACATAGTCCACAGAGACAATGTTCTATATCCTTCTTTGATGAGTAGCTACTGGGAGCAAATAGCTCATGCGCAGCCATCTACAGTGCAATTATTGGTCTCTTCTTTTGCAAAGGAAAAAAGAGTGGTAAAAACTTGAATACTACAGAATTATTTAGTCCAGCGAACTAATGGAACACATGAACGTCAGTCTCTACAACCCTGAGACCAGAAGATGGTGCTGACTACCACTACTAACTGTTTGAAAGTCCTGGATAAGATGGGAGAAAGTATGGAACAATACTGAAAAATATTTTTAAAAAGCCAGGCTTACTACTGGTCAGAAAAGTACTGGAAGAACCCAAGCCCTTTGGTCATCCTTCAAGTCTGGAACTGAACTTACCCTTATGGCTCAATTTCCGGCCAAGCAATAGATAGGTATTATGGAGTGGAACCGGGCGGGGGCGGGGGGAGGGGGGGACATTAGTAAGGTGTGCACGCCATTCAAGATAAAAAGGGCAGCACTTATCTAGGGAAAGAATTCAGAACAGTTGGGAAAGATGGTAGAATGGAAACAAGTAGGATTCTTGTTGAGATAGCGCCAACTCTTGGAAATCCCATGCATTTCAGAGTAGGGCTGTGTTCCATGAGGTTTTCAATGGCTGTGAGCTTTCAAAAGGAGATGACCATGTTTTTCTTCCTTCTCAAGAATTCTTTTATTGGTTTTGTTTTGTTGTTTTGTATTGTATAATAAAGCAAAACTCACCTGGATAGTTCTGGAATTGTATTGCCTATTCAGCTAATATCCCCTTCATAAAGTTATAAATGAATAACCAGCTATGTGATTCTGAGTATCAAATTAATTGTTTGGAGGGATAGTTTGTGATACCTTGAGTACTTTGTTTGCTTAAATATTTTCTTTCCTCCATTTTATATATAATTGGAAGGAAGGGTCTGATTCGATTACTTTGTAAGAGGGAACAAGAGCACATGTGAATGAATCCCAGCATTGCATCGATTCTCCCTCTCAACATAAGCCCTCTGGCTTCACTCAGCACTTTTAGTCCAACAGGTCATACGAAACCAGAGCTTTGAAGCCGTTCTCCTTGATTCCACTCTCTTTAAGTTCCCTAGTGATTCTTATAGATCTCTAGGTGATTCTGATAGATTTTATCTGTACATAGCAATCACGTAGGGACTTTGTTAAAATGTAGATTCTGATTCAGTATCTGGGGTGGAAATGCAAATTCTCAGCAGGGGGTCAAATCAAACTGAGCTGGTTCAAAGCCCCCACATAAAACAAGACAGTGTTTTCCATCCTTCTTCACTTCTGCTGTTTGATTCCTCTGTGACCTCCAGGACCTGCCTACAGGGGCCTAGACCTGTGGTGTCCACCTTAACTGCCCCTGCTATACCTTGTGTGGTTTAAGCATTCACTGAATGGGTTTCTTTGCATTCAAGTATTTGCCTCTCTGTCCCATGATGTACATAAAAGGAGGTTACAAAAAGTGGGGAAAATGGAACTAAAAAAAATGGAATTTTCCCACCAACTTTTTCTCTTGTATACCTGTGCTTTCAGTAGTGTCCACTGCTTAGGAATGTGCTTGTCTTATGGTATCATAGACCTCTTGCTTTAGCTAAAGTCCCTTACCTGGGCCCTCCTGGCCAGTCCAGTTTTGCAACTATTCATGTTCCTGTGTAACACCTTCTGTTGGATCCCAAATAATGTGTTCTTGAAAGTTCACACATCCTTTCATAACAATTCAAACGTCATTGCTCCAGTATGGCAACCCCGTGTGTGTCAGAGCAGAACTATGTTTCATAGAGTTTGCAGTGGCTGATGTTTCAGAAGTTGATCTCGACCTTTCTTCTAAGATGATTCTGAGAGAATCTGAGATAATTCTCGAACCTCCAACCTTTCAGTTAGCATCTGGGTGCATTAACTGTTAGCACCACCTTAGGAGCTCTTCCTCCAACATAAAACTTGCAAAATCGAACGCTTCCAGGGACTACTGAATGTACTCAATGATTATAGCTCTGTGTAGCCTTTGCGTTTCATTTTGTTGTTGCTGTGAAGTGCCATCGAGTTAGTTCCAACCCACAGTGACCCTGTATAGGGTTTCCGAGGAGCAGCTGGTGAACTTGAACCACCAACCTTGCGATTCAAACTGACTTTGCAATACAGAGCATTAACCCACAGTGCACACCAAGACTCCTTGCATTTCACTAGAGGGAGAGAAATGGAGTCCTGGTGTGGTGCTATAGGATAAGCATTGGACTTCTAATACTAAGGTTGGCAGTTTAAGCCCACCAGCCACCCCATAGAAACCCTATGTAGAGTTTTTATGTGTCAGAACTAGTTCAGTGGCACTTACCAACAGCAAGAGAGGAAAAGAGCCTTGGAAGAGAGCAAAGCAAGAATCATTGTGTGGGGCAGGACATTA